TTTGTTTTTATTTCATAGATCCTGGCAGCATCATGAACTTTAGAGTATGCCTTCTTCACTACATCCCAAATTTCCTTAGCAGTATTCAGAAACATAACGGTTTCACTAATTTCTGGAAGCATGGAGTTCCATAACCATGACATCACCATTGAATCATGTTCATCCCATGCATCAAACTTGGGGTCTTCTTTGGATGGTCCTGTACCGAGGAGATGTCCTAATTTCCCTTTACCTTTTAGAAAGGTACGAACAAGCTGAGACCATTTTAGATAATTTTTCCTATTCAACCGATAAGAGGCTTGAATATTTTGTAAATCTCCAGTTGAAACTGTAGAGCTATGGCAGAAACATTTTCAGAGACTGGAGTATTCGCAATAGTAGTCTTTTCGGACATGGTTTTCAAATGGTTTTAACCCTTGGGCGGATAAAGAGGACAAATGTGATGAAAAGATGGATGAATGAAAAAAAAATCAGTCAGTAATAAGCCTAACACTCTGATACCATATGGAAAGAGTAAGAAACTTGAATAATTTCATTCATGTCTTTGAATGTCATATACATGGCTTTATATACAAGAAGAGGTTAGAAATAGAATCATCTAAATCCCATAAAATCTGGGATTATACAGAATAAAATAAAATAAAAAGAATCAGAATTTGATATTCTAGATTACAACAATTATTTCCAAAATCTTAGAGGATCAGATCTTGATATGGAGAATATCTTCCTTGAAATCCTCTATCATTCAACATATATCAATCCAAGATTTTGAATAAAATCATACAAAATTATTCCATTTACTTTAAGTCATTAAAATCACTTTCGTCTCTGTAGGCCTAAGCATAAGAAAATCATCCTTACCTTTCACTAGGAGTATTATACCATCACCGGCACAAAAAGGTCAACTAGGTTATGTACCTAGCGGCAAGTATCATATACCCTACTTGCTCAGGTCGTCTTATCGTAGTGTCGTACGAATCGACTTAGCCATGCTAATAATAGCACAAAATAGTACCCTCTCGAGGGAGAGCACTCTACCGTAGTGTATACCACAAAGTGGCCATCTACGCCTACACCGGCACGTGTAGTTTCATGACTACGAACACAATATATCCAAAGCCAATCTCGGTGAACACAAGAACTCCCAAAACATTTGATACTCCCAAAATAGATTCATAGCATAATAGCTTCAAATGATCTATTTTTTTATCAAATCATAGCATTGATAGAAAATCTAAACCATTTGAACAAAAATTAAATACCTTTTTACATGTAAAAGCTTTTAGCAATTTAACATCAATCTTTAAAAAGACACCACAAGTGCTATTCTATTTGTCAATTTTCAAAAGAAATACTTTCCATGAAAACTTATCTTTAGCACTCAAATATATATACTCTTATCAATACGTAAATTTTGATAAAAACTTATAACATTTACCTTAAATTCATTTTGCCAACAAGATTTAAAATAATATTTTATAAAACAACATGACACTACATATGTAACATAATATTGTAGTACAGGGATACATCCATACTTGTTTGTCCCCACAAGCACGAAAGCACATTTGCAAACAACTTAAGCAATAAGCATTAACTTGAAACATGCTTTTAGAGAAAATCTCTCAAGAAGAGTAAGTTTTAATCAACTTACCTCGTTTTCGCTTTATTAACATTCACAAGCTTTTAATCCTCTTCCATCATTCCAATATTGATTAAAATGCTCAAACATCACCAGGAAGTCGATATCTACAATTAGATATCCTAATTACATCAAAATATAACCTAAAATATTGATCAATGTACTATGGCTCATAAGTTGGCTACAAGCCTCCAACAACTCAAATCGCCGAATAGATTTACATGCTAGCCCCTTCAACTTCATTTTTATATTTTAATACCCATTCGAAGTTATTAATGATACTACATCAAGCCACCAAGTTAGTATTCATCGTCTTCCATAATCAACACTTGTAAAATATACAATTTGGGTGATTACTTAGTTGATCACTTCCAACTTTTGCTAACAAATAATTCCATAGGTTCATCTTATTCATCAATTTCATCGCCAAGATTACTATTCTTCTTCTCTCTCATTTTCTCAAAAGTACTATTCATGCCATGAACTAGAGTTTTATAATCCAATCTTTCAATCATTAAAACTTGTAACAAATGCTTCAAATACTTCTAACTACTCATAATAAACTAGTTTGAATCATTAGAATTACCTCTAGTAAATCAACCTTGAAAAATCACAACTTTGGTGATTTTTGTGTTCTTGAGGATTTGATGATGAAATCTAGTATTTGGATGTAAGAATGATATTAGAACTCATGTATATTGAGTAAGAATCAACCCAAAATATCATTAACAACTTATCTTAGTTGGCTGGACTTGATTTGAGCTTAAAATCACCTCTTGACCTCAAGAACCCTAACCCCAAAAGCTCAAAATACTCTCTCCCCGACTTTGTACTTGTAGGCCCAAATTTCTGGGTTTCGAACACTGCCCCAGACTCTTCGCATTCCTAGTTCACTCCTCCTCCAAGCTCGGATGCGAACCCGGACGCTATGGTTGTACTTCAGTGCCAGCCTTTGGTAATTTGATCATAACTTCTTGTCGGAATGTCCAATTGACGAACGATTTGAAGCGTTAGAAACTTGACTCGAAGATCTTTTATTTGATAGGTTGTTCACCACATAACTCCTTATATATATGTATATCTAGATATGCTCGTCTAAAGTTAGGTCCTGCGCGTACTCATTTGGAACTTTAGTCTATCATGCAATTTCTAACTTGACTTGTCCCAAGGGCTCTCCTTAGGCCCTATATCATTTCAAGTACACCTCGTACACTTGTTATTATGTTCATGGAATATCTTTCATATTGTTAATTAGCATTCGCATACAAATAAATGTAACTAGCACACGTCGAACCTCTTAATGACCTTATAATATTTCAGAACTTTTTCCAGGGCACTACGTTCACTGTCAACCTGATCCATAGATATCAGATTTTTCTTGAGGCTAGGAACATGTCGGACATTTTGCAATTTCCATAGCGTCCCTTGTGAAATCCTTATATGAACTTGACCTTTCCCGACAATATCCAGAGGTTCGCCGTATGCTACATAAACCTTCCCGAATTTTCCAGCAATATAATTATGCAATAATTCTTTGCATGAGGTAGAGTGAAAAGATGCTCCTGAGTCCAGAATCCAAGATTCGACTGGGCTATCTGCACAACAAATTAGTGCATAACCGACTTGTTTAGCAATCACATTTGCTGAATTATCATCCTTGTATTGGTCGTTCTTCTTCTTCTTTGGCTCTCTACATTGACTACTGTAATGACCCTTTTTATCACAATTCCAACAAGTAATGTCTTTGCGGTTTTTTGATTGCCCTCTTCTCCTTGACTTTGATCTGCCACGACTATGACTTTGTCCTCTTTGGCTGCTTCTCCTCGTGCTTTCAGTATTAAAAACAGATCCTAGGGAATCACTTGATTCACTTCAGCGAATATCTTCGCTTAGAACCAAGTCTCTAATATCATCCAATTTGAGTTTAGTACTTCCCAATTAACTGCTAACTGCAGTTACTATAGCAGACCAACTCTCCGGTAGAGATGATAATAGAATCAACGCCCTGATTTCGTCATCGAATGTTATATTAACACAACTCAACTGAGTTAATATTACACTAAACTCATTGATATGTTCCGTAACAAATCCACCTTCTGTCATCTTTAAGTTGAACAATCGACGCATCAAATAGACTTTATTTGAAGCAGATGGCTTCTCGTACATATTTGATAACGCCTTCATCAGGCCTGCAGTGGTTTTCTTGTTATTGATGTTAAACGCCACATTTCATGTTAGCGTCAAACGAATCACACCAAGAGCTTGGCGATCTAATAGATCCCAATTCGCTTTGGCCATATTCTCTAGTTTTACCCTGGTCAGAGGTAAGTGTAGTTTTTTCTGGTACAAATAATCCTCTATTTGCATTTTCCAAAATTCAAAATCTTTGCCATTTAACTTGTCCATCTTAACCTTTCCTTCTTCTGATGCCATTTTTCACAATTTTTTATATGAATAGTGCCTGCGAATAGTAACATCGGATACTACTCTGTGTAAGAAAAACTGTCCAACCGTATAAGGTAGACAACAATCACTATTGGTGAACAGTACTATCACTATTAATGAATAGTACTTCATTATTGTGAATAATGTTAGTATTGATGATCAATAGTGTCACACTATTCTTGTGAATAGTACCTGCATCAATACCGTACTTTTTTACCAGAATTACATTGTATGTACTTTGATACCAGTTGTTGAGAAGCGTGTCAGGATAATAGACGGGAAAAATATTTAAAAGAGAAAAGCAATAAATTGCACAAGACAAGACAAGATTTACGTGGTTCAGCAATTTTTGTCTACTCCACGACCACAGAAAGAATAGCTCTTTATTAATTGAAGAGAAAGAAGAGGTTGAGAGATGATTTACAACTGAAGAAAGGGTTGCCTATTTATAGGCAGAACGTCTGCTGGAAAAAAAATCAGTAAATGTGAATACGAAGAGGACGACACCACAAACTGCGCGCCGAATTCTTCTTTGACATTTGCAGCCAGCATTTCATGACTCTTATTTCTTTCTGTCTCTTTCTATCTTTCCTTTCTTTCTTTTTCTTTGATTTTTCCATTTTGCTCACATGGGTTTGTCACATCACAATTTACCATGCAAACATTGGCCGCACATTTTGCTTCAGATGAAGAAGGATTCTCAAAATTAGAAAACATACTATCATTAGATGAGTACTCATGATACATGTATCATTCTTTTGCTTTCCACAGTGAATTGATTAACCTTTTTAATTGACACACAAATTGACATCATGTTTGCTTCCCTTTAGAGTCTTTAGATTTTAATCTGCCTGCTTTTTTGTATATATCCTGAAATTTTAATGCTTCTGATGGTTTCTCTGTTTATATGTAGCTCAAGGCCATGAGATATGGAGCTGTGCCTATTCTACTGAATTTTACGGACAGTAACTTCGGGTTAGTTAACAACATATGCAAAATGAGCTGAAAATTTTCATCCTGTGTTATCTATGGTTTGTTATTTCCTTGACTGTTGAGAAAGTTCACGTCTTTCTTTAAATTACTGGACAAACAGGCACTTTATGGACCATGATCTTGAGGGCACCAAATTCTCTCGTTATATCAAAGATACCTTCGCCAATATGTCCCTGAACCAAGCAATTGAAGGACTTGTATGTACTTGAGTCTTTCCAAAGTCTTTCTCACCTCCTTCCCCCGTTCCCCTCCCATGGGCCCGAAAGAACTTAACAAATGAATATGAAAAAACTTTACTCTTATTCAGCTGTCTGCTCCTGGTAAGTACTTTACTACCCAGAAAAGAGCAGGCTTTTTAATCGTGCTTTATGTCATGTTATTACAGAAGAACAACCCTTCAAAATGGGACAAGAAGATTGTCGATGCCATGACAAAGGATTTTTCGTGGGAGGCAGAGTGCTGTGACATTCATATCTCTGCATATACAGCAATAAAGAACTAGTAAAATAGATTTTCTGTACATATTCATGTATTTATATCTCTGACCACGCCTTTACATATAGTCTAGCGGAGGGTCTTTTGTTATCTTAAGAAAGAAAAAAAAGATTAGAATGTCTATCCTTTTATAGTCAATTGTTTTAGTCAGTAGTACGGACATAAGTGCGGGCATTGCCCATTCTAACAAATAATTGAATGTCCTCTCTAATGAATAATCGATATGAAGGAGTACATCTGAAAAACATTGGTTGTTCTGTCTTTCCCCTCTTCTATGACACCCCAACCCCTGTCCCCAGTCTCTCCATCTAAATGACAACACCATCTAAATGACAACAACAACAACAACGACCCAGTGAAATCCCACTGGGGTAGGGGGAGGGTAGTGTGTACGCAGAACTTACCTAGGAGTAGAGAGGCTGTTTCCGATAGACCCGAGGGACTTTCTCCACCTAAATGAGAAAGTCCGAAAACATAAATGTTTAAAAGAATGAAAAGAGAAGGAAAACCTTGATCAGCTTTTCCTTTACTTCGCCTTTTCCACCCTGCTTTATGCGTATAGGACAACTTATGTCATCATTCTTTGGGATGAATAGAAACCTAAGGTAAACTAGTATTTTTTTTCTGCTGGTTAATTAAGTTGATATTTGAAGTCACTTTGCTAATGTTGTCGCATCTTATCAGAGGTTACAATTTGCCTTTTTCAAATGTAAGTGGGCTGCCAGAGATATGGACCACAGCTGATTTTCGTGTAAGCTTCTTCTCAAATTTTAAGCCTATAGTATTTACTAAGTTGATGATTAATCTTTTTTGAAGCTTGTTATCTTTAGAACGAGAAGCTCCTTTGTGAATTCTTACTTGTTTGAAGTTGGTTTTTGAGGGAACAATAACCATTAAGTATCCGCTAGACTGCTACATGTTATATGGTGGATTTGCTAAGAGTATCCGCTAGTAGACAACTAATATCCATTTTTATGATTCTTGATTCAATTGATACCATGCAATGCTGTTATGGTTTAGTGTGTCACCAAGATTGAAGGATAACAATATCATATTAGAAAACGTTGTACATTCCAAAGTTAGAGTTTTTGAAATTTGAGGTCGCGAACTCTATAGATCTCATTTCAAATTTGTCCATATTTAGGAGCTCTGCTGGTTTCCCGGTACACAGTAAATTCTTGTTGGTGCTTTAAAATCATTTTGCGTTTGTATTTCTGCAAATCTATCTGTATACTGTAGCTAGCCATTTCACGTTTCAGCACTGATACTGAGGTTGGTAGACTGAAATAAATTTTTCTAGGCCCTAACATCGAAAGCGACAGTAGAGCAGCAGTACTTTGTGTCGTCAACATTGAATTCATTATCTGCTAACAAACGACCCACCAAACAAATATGCCCTTTTCTCCATTTTGAACATCTAGGAAAAAAGGATCAGGCCCAGCAAATTCACTTCCGTGGTTCAGAGTTTGTTGGGTTGGCCCAGGCGCTAACCTTATCATGTGCTACAGATATGACTGACCGGAAGCACAGAAATAGTTGTATAATTTCAGCAGAAGTGTGAGTCTTGGTCATAGTATTTGGTCAGAGAGGCAGATTTAAGATTTGAAAGTTGTGGATGTCCCACCCTACATTTATAATACAACTCTAGACCCACCACTGTTAATAGACCTAAAATTTTATGCAGTAATATCCTTTCTGGAGATCAAACAGGTGGATTGTCGCTTTTGATGGGTCACAAGTAGGGGTTTTCATGGTTCGGTTTGGATCGATTTTTCCTAAAAAGAAATCAAACTAAGCAAGTCGGTTTTTCAAATATTGAAACCAAACCAAACCAATTAAGTCAGTTTTTTATCGCTTTGGTTTATGTCGAATTTTGCCAGTTTTTCGATTTTTTCTGTTATTTATCGGGTTTTTTCTAAAATATGAGACATACACTATCAAACACATATTCCGGCGACTACATTTTGAATGTAACACGATCAAACTAATTGCATTTTGAGAAATTCATTATTTACCAAGATATATTGAAGATCATTGAATCAAATAGTGAAGAATAATTTAAGGACTCAATTAAAATTAAAAATAGATTATTTTTAATATGAAATGGATTCTTGTACTTAGCAAAAGAAAACTACCAATCAAACTAGAATGTAAAGGCAAAGAACTAGATTATTATAATAGCAAAGAACTAGACTATAAGTGGAACGATTAACATGTACCATAAAATTTTAAAAACTTGTATAAATATATATA